TGCTGCATGCTGGCCCCACATCCCTCCTGTGGCACCTCTCATTCTACACAAGGTTGGGCGTGTGTTGTCCTTCTGAGGGGACTTGCACCTCCTGGAGGTGGGCTCCATCAGGGTCTTCTCTTACCAGAATGCCCGCTCCACCAGGGCAGGGCTCACTCTGTTCACCGCTTGTCCCCTGTGTCAGCAGGTGTTCTGCGAGTGGTACTGAAGAGTCACGGCGCATGAGGAAGTGGTGGGAACTGCCTGTCCTTCCCAGGTGGCTCCCAGTGGCAGGAAGCTCACGCTGACCAGCCCCTCTGGCCTGACGAGATCTGTCYGACCCACAAGTGACTGTGCATTGAGCCCTCTGCCCTGCTCAATCATCAGGCCAGAAGACATTGAGACGTGTCCAGCTCACGGTCCTTCACCTGGCCGCTTTCTCCAGCAGCCTCCCCTGGACCCTCACATGGCAGCTGAGCTCCAGCCAGCACTGGGGCAGGACACGACTTCCACAGGCCCCACTGGCTGAGGCAGCTGTAGGGATCCCAGAGTCACTATCCCTCCTCCCATGCATGCAAGGAGGCGAGGAGTCCCTGGCAGCTCCTGCCACTGCTGAGAGGAGCGAGTCCCTGGGAGGCGTCATCAGAGGAGTGACAGGACCCCAAACAACTGCGTGGAGAAGTCACTGGGCCTCTTCCTGACACTTGCTGTCCTCTTGATGGCCGAYTGGGATGGAGCCCCACCCCAGGCACCGCCCCTACCCTGGGACCTGCTCCTCCAAGGGCACAGCACGTGCTCATGGTTGACCCAGCAGTCTCAGGGAGACTCCCTCCTGCAGGCCCCTCACTCAGCCTCTGTCCCAGCCCTGGGACTTGATTTCCCATGCAGATGGAGATGGCCATTCCCATGGGGATGGCCACTTGGGTGAAGGAGAGGGAAGGCTGGAGAGCAAGCCTGGATGGTCTCATCCTGAGATGCAGGGTCCTGCTGGCTAGTGGCAGAGCTGGCACTGGGCAGGAGGAGGGTGGCACTTCAGGCCCCACCAGGTCAACGGGCTCCTTCCTCCTCACTCCTGAGGCTGTCTGAGCACAGCTCCCAGGGAGAGCCCCCCTGCCTCTATCCCACTCCTCGGGCCCTCCCTAGTGGACACCCATTCTGGATCCATCTGAACAGCCTGAAACAGAGGTTGGATGGAGGAAGCAAAGCTTCACAGAGCAAGTCCTTGAGGTTCATCCACCCAGCCAAGGAGTCGGTGGTCCCAGGATTCCATGGGGAGCTGTCCTAGTTCCTGGGGTGTGTCCAGTTCCACCCTGCAGCACAGGGAGGGCACTGGCATCTAGAAGCTAAGACCCAGGCTCCATGTGCCTGAGAAACCAACTGTCCTGGGTGCCCTGATATCTGAGGCTGACCTGGAGGAAGCCAAAGAGGCACTGGGCTGGCTAGTGGCTTCGATAGAGACCTGACAGCAAGAAGCCCACCCAGGATCGCAGCCAAAGAGGCCAGCCCACAGGTGGCCCTTGCTGGGTTCTTGGGAGACAGGGAAGCATAAGGGTTCAAAGCCTGGGCTTGGGCTTTGTTCTGGGTCCAAATTTTGTTTCTGTCACTTTCTCTCTGTGGGTGCTTTTTTCTCCAGGAGATGCAGTTTTCCTGTCTGTAGAATGGGTTGCCCTGGTGGCCCTGAGGATGAGAGAGAGCTGGCCTCCCTCCCCGCCTGGCAGTGATGGCTAGCGCCTGGCTTCTAGCAACGCTGCAGGGGCCAGGCACACAGACTTTAGCTCCCTTCCTGTTCTTGATTCATTCCTTTTCCCTGGGCCAGTGTCTAGGGGACACGGAATCTTCCAGTGGTGATACCACTGTGTTCTTCAGAGTAACTGCAAAAAACAAATTCACTGGGGAACACCTTAATGAAGGGCATAGGTTTTCTTAGGGTGTCTGCATTGTACCATCCAGAGGCCTAGGGGGCCACCAGGAGCCTTGGAGCCACTTTAACCTGCAGTTCTACGAGTTTGTGAATCCATATCACTACAGGGTCACCCCTGGGTCCAGAACCAGCAAAAGGCTCCCAGTGGGGACAACAGTGTGTGTGGTCCCGAAGCATCCACCACCAGGGGTCGCAGCTCCATTTCTCAAGGAGGCCGAGAGAGGCAGAATCTGCTGCTAAGGGAGGGGCCAGGCTGAGCTTGCTGCAGGTGTGAGCAGAGCTAAGGGCACCTGGAGGGGTGTGTCCCTGCAGGCGAGAGTGGCAATGACAGGGCCCTTCCCGTCAGCTGGGCCATCTGCCCTTGTCCCTGTTCCCTCACATACCTCATGACTAAGGGGACAACACCCAGACAAGAGGCGRTGCAGAGAGGCCAGGCTGCACAGCCTCACAACTGGCAAGGGGGAGTGAGGACCTCGCCAGGCTCCCCTGGGCCATCTCGAGGCCCTACAATTGACCAGCAGAGGGGTGGCAGGTGGAGGGGCCGGAGCCCCCTCTCCCCCTGCCCAGCATGGCTGGCCATCCTATCCCTTCCTTCTGGCCTCTGGAGACCACTGTCATTTCCATCTAGGGGGAGTTAGAAAGGAGCTTGGGTGGAGTCCTCAGTCAACTGAGATGGGATTTTTCTGAACATGGCTGGCCTCTCAAGGAATGGTATCCAGTCCTAGGAAAGCTTCTCACACACGCCCCAAATAGCTAGGGCATTCCAGTCTAATACTGCACCCAAAGTCTGGGCTGCAAGGGGCCTGGACTGCTGCACCAACCCAGGACACATCCAGCCACCTGCACTTGACCTCAGACACCATTCTAAATGCTGTCCTCGTGGCCTCATTTAGTCCTTATACTAGCTTTGCAGGGCACTCTATCATGGTCCACATCGACAGAGAAGGAAGCTGAGGCTCAGAGAGGACCTCAGTGGCTCTGGAAAGGGGGCTTGGCTTCTCCTATGTGTGCTGTGTGGCTGAATGAACAGGGAGAGCGCAAGCTGGAATTTGGCTCTCCAGACAGAGGAGGGTGAGGACACAGTGCGGGCTTGTCTTTTAGCGAAGGTTTCCCAGGCACCTACTCTTAGAAACAGGGAGAAAAAAGACCTGCCACAACAGGGCTCGCAGTAGGAATCCAGCAGTTTTGCAGAGCAGGGAAAGTGACAGGCACACTCGTGAGCAAGCCTTGCAGAAGCCAGCAAGGGCAGCAAGGAAGGATGTGCAGGAGGAGGGGGCAAGGAGCCCTCACCAAAGACCAGAGCACGCTGGTAGCTAAGGTTGGAAACAGCAGGGGTGAGGGCTCCTCCCTGGGACAGACAGGAGGTGCAGGAAGATGTGGGTGTCTAGGGAAGGGGTGCCTCCCGGGACGCATGGGGTGTGATGCGAGTAGAAAGAAACCATGGGCAACAGCGTGTGTTCCAAGGCTTATGTGAAAGTCGCCTTGCCTTGGTGTGGCTTCTCTTCCAGCTACCCTGAGAGCTCGGCTTTGCAGAAATAAGGTCTTCAGAGGCAGAAGGGCCTCTAAATGAAACGCCCTTCTTGGTCATGGCTCGTGTGGAGAAGCAAGGCCTGGCCTGGGTCTTGGTCCAGCTCCATGGTCCTGCCTCCAAACCTGCCCAGGCCCTGGCACAAGCAGGACCCATAAGCTGTGTCCCCCTGCTGACCACCTTCCACCCCCAGCATCCTCTGGAGGATGGAGTACACCCTGTCTGTCTCTTCCCAAACCCAGCTGCCTACAGGAGGAAGTGGCCCAGAGAAAGGACCAGCAAGGGGAGAGCCCTGTGCTGGTCCTGCAGGACACAGTGAGGAGACGGCTTCTGGTGTGCCTTGTGAGGGTCCCCCAGTTTGACTTCTTCTTAGTGGGGGCCTGCCTGGGGTTCTGGGAGGTTGACGTCTGCCCCTTGCAGGGCTTGTGTGAGGCTCACCTGGTGCCAGGCCCTGCTGCCTGCTCGGCATTTACATGCTCAACACCAAGTGCAACTGTGACCCCTGACTATGGATAGGAAGAGGGAGGCACAGAGAGGTCAAGTGGCTCTCCCAAGGTCACTCGGTTAGGTGGTAGGGCTGGGGTTTAAGCCCAGGAAATCTGCCCCTTATTAGTAAGGACCAACACACCTACAGGAGCTACCACCTAGGTAGCGCCTCCTGGGGCTTTACCTCGGCACAGCATGGTGGCCACAGACTTGGGTGCTCTCCAGTCACTCCTCGCAGAGAAGTAGACCTGGGTGCAGCAGGAACCGGGTGAGAGCTCTTCAGATTCTCTCCAATCCTAGGGGGCCAGAGCCAAGCTTCCCCCCCCCTCTCCCTGATTCCTGCGCCCTTCTGGGCCTCGGTTTCCCAATGCCTCGGCCTCTGCCCTGCTGGCTCCCCTGCTCTCGAAAGTGGGAAGGCGGAGGGGTCGCTGTGGGGTGAGGGGTCGTTGGCAACGCCGGAGCCCTCTCCCTCCCTCACTCCAGAGTGACGCCCTTGAAGTTCAGCGGGAGGTGGATGCTGCGAGGGAGGGTCGGTGCTGCGTCTCGGTCACCGCGAGGCCAGCGCCGCAGGGTGGCGAAGCCCTGCGGTGGCCTGGGGAAGGACCACGTGCTCCGGGTAGTTGTGCAGGAGCCTCCGGGACAAGGGGAGCGCCCGCCCGGGGCGGGGGCAGGGAGGGCGCGCCGGGGGAGGCAGGTCTGGCAGGAGGGCTGGGGTGGGGGAGGCCGAGAGCGCGCGGACAAAGGAGGCGGCCGGCAGCCCAGCTGTTTTGAAAAATGCTTCCTGTTTCTTTAGAGGCGCTCGCGGCCCCGCGGCGGGCTGGGGCGGCGGCGGGAGCTGCCTCCTCTCCGGGCGGCGCTCACTGATCTCGCGAACTGGCTTCTGTATAAACCGAGGCTAAACAAACACAGACGGAGCGCAGCGGGCGTTCCGCAGAAGGCCGGCCAGGCGGCAGCGGCTCGGGAGGACACCCCGAGCGCTCGGGAGCGCACGGCGCGGCGGCCCCGCGGAGCCCGCGGCGCAGCTGCCCGGCGAGGGGGCGGGGGCGGGGGCGGGGGAGGGGAGCGCGACCGACTCCGCCGCGCGGAGCGGCGCCGGGCAGAGCCGCGCGGCGTGCAGGCGAGCGCAGCGGGCGCGCGTCCCGGGCACCCCACGTCCCTGTCTCGCGCGCTGTCCGCACCATGAAGCACATCCCGGTCCTCGAGGACGGGCCGTGGAAGACCGTGTGCGTGAAGGAGCTGAACGGCCTCAAGAAGCTGAAGCGGAAAGGCAAGGAGCCGGCGCGGCGCGCGAATGGCTGTAAAACTTTCCGATTGGACTTGGAAGCTCCCGAGCCTCGCGCTGCCGCCACCCTCGGGCTTCGGGACAGGACCCAGAGGCTGCAGCCCGTCCCGGTCCCGGCCCCGGTGCCAGCCCCAGTGGCGCCGGCTGTTCCCCCAGGTGGGGGCGCGGATACTGGCGGGGACCGCGGGGGCCCCCGAGCGCCGGAGGTCTCTGACGCGCGGAAACGCGGCTTCGCTCTGGGCGCAGTGGGGCCGGGACTCCCCACGCCGCCGCCGCCGCCAGCGCCCCAGGGCCAGGCATCTGGGGGTCCCGAGGCACAGCCTTTTCGGGAGCCCGGCCTGCGTCCCCGCATCTTGCTCTGCGCACCTCCTGCGCGCCCGGCACTGTCTGCACCCCCAGAGCCCCCAGTGCCCTCGGCGCCCGCGGACTCCTCGGTGCGTCCTGCGCCCCCCACGCGCCCGGGGGAAAGTTCCTACTCGTCAATTTCACACGTAATTTACAATAACCACCCAGATTCTTCTGCGTCGCCTAGGAAACGGCTGGGCGAAGCGACCGCCGCCTCCTCGGAGATCAAAGCCCTGCAGCAGACCCGGAGGCTCCTGGCGAACGCCCGGGAGCGGACGCGGGTGCACACCATCAGCGCAGCCTTCGAAGCGCTCAGGAAGCAGGTACCTGCTCTTCCTCACGCCGCAGGGCGCCGGGGACCCTGGGGACCCTGGGGACCCTTGGGACCCTTGCGGGAGTGGGCCGGTGGGGGGCCGAGTGTTGCTGGCAGGGAGGGGTGTGTTTGAACGACAGCTGTTCCGGATCCCAGACAGGCTTGGGCAATCAGCGTTTGTGCGGATCTTAGTTCACAAAGTGGAGGTTGGAGATCTCTGGCCCTGCAGGTCCTGGCTCCCTGGAGACCCTATCTCTGGGGCTGACTTCAGCCCACACAGTGTGATCACTTACATGAGGGAATATGTGTCTCCCGGAATCACCCGGCTCTGGGGAACAGTGTTGGGGAATACCAGAATCTTTCTCTGCTGGGCAGGGGAGGAGGACCCTTTCCCTCTGGGAAGCTGGGTGGTTGGGATCTTGGTCCTTGGTTGGTGGCCACGAGGCCCAGAGTAGTGTGGGGTATGGTCCTGGGTTGCTGAGGAACTTGCTAGCCCTGCTTCAATCCCCAGCTCTCAACAGAAATGCCCTGTGCCCAAGGCTTGCATCCGGGCCTGGCACCTTTGCCTGGCACCCCTAGGACCCTCCCCAGGGGCATCTTCAGGCACTGCTGGGGGAACCTTCCAGGAGTTTCCTCCCACGGCTGCCCTGCATCTCCTGGAGGAGCTGGGCTTCCCCTGGAGGCACTGGCTGGCTGCAGGTTCTCTCCAGGCATCTTGGGAGCTAGCTGGGGGTGAGTCTAGGGCATGGGGGCCGTCCTCAGTGGACAGCATTTTTAAGAGGTGAGGAGATCTTAACCCAGCATTGCCTACAGAGGAGGACGGTTTGCAATCCCACATTTCCACTTTGGACCAGACAGATACTGCCCTGGGCCTCCAGGCTTCTCACTTYCTTAGAGAGAAGAGGGATGTAGAAAAGGGGGGTTAAGTCTCCCCCATACCACCATGGTCCTGGGAAGTGCTGGGATGGACGTGGTGGACTTGATGGGTGAGGTTTTTTGCTTGCTCTGAATCTGATGTGCTGTTTGATTCTGGGAAAGTTATTCAACCTCTCTGGACTTCAGCCAACCACAAAACATTTCAGAAACATCTTTTGGGGTCACACTCTCCTCTTCCTCCTGTGGGTAGGGTGGGGCAGTGGTGCCTGCATTGGTCCATGGGAAGGACACTGAACCTTCCCAGAGAAAGGAGGCTCTGTGGTTTCTGAACCAGAGAGTCTTGTTTGAGTTCACAGGAGATGTTTGGTCAGTGAGTTGGGTGGGAGTCAGGTGGCTGTCACAGACCAGGCGGGGCCAGTGCCTGTAGYGCACCAGCTGGGACCCTGGGCAGTGGCCAGTGGAGCTGTCAGCCCAGTCCTGGGCTCCGTGCCTGAGTGCCTGGGTAGAATAGCGGCTTGGGGTGGCCTGCGGTCCATTCCCCTGGGAGGGTGGGGCTGCCCCCTGCTCACCTGCCCCCCTTGCGGCTAGGACACCTCCCCTGTGTCCAGAATCTCATCCCTGGGGGAAAGTGAGTGGGTGCCCCGAGGCCCTTCCGCCCCCCCACCGCCTTCCACTTTCCAGGAGAGGACAGATGCTCTCGGGTGCCTGCTGCACCTCATCCGACCTGTGCTTTCACGTCTTTCAACAGTGAATTCCATCTTATTTGATTTTTTTTTTTGTACTGGGGATTAAACCCAGGGGTGCTCCACCACTGAGCTACCTACCCAGTCCTTTATATTTTTTATTTTTGAGTCAGGGTCTCACTAAGGTGCTGAGGCTGGCCTTGAACTTGTGATTCTCCTGCCTCAGCCTCCTGAGTTGCTGGGATCCCAGGCGTGGGCCATTATCCATGGCTACCATCTTGTTTGATCTCACCATTCCTGTCAGGCTTGGATCAACCCACTTTATGTAAAAGAAAGCTGAGGCCAGGAGAAGGGAGGAGACTTGTCCAAGGCCACCTGGTGAGTTAGAGGAGACAGCAGTGGTCTCTGGAATGCCCCCGAGGCCAGCTCTCAGTGCTGTGGCATCATGGCATGGGCGGACGGTGCCTCGGCTGACYGACAGTGTGAGCCTGGCCTCTCACTGAGCAAGTGTGTGCACACATTGTAGTCAGGCACACCCTGTGCAGAATTCATCACGAGTCCAAAGCACATGCCAACAGCAGCGGCAGCGCCTGCTCCAGCCCTTTGCTGTTTGCTGCCACCATTCTGTCCCTTTCCTAGCAAGGCTGCTTAGCAGCAGTGGATACCTGCCCATGGTCTGAGGAGGGCATGTCCCTACCATGCTAGCACTGGCCTGATGAGGAGGGCCCTGGGCCTCAGAGGAGCTCCTTCCTCAAGTGGCCTCAGTCTCCCACCTATAACGGGCACTCACCACCCTGCCCATCCAGTGGGCAGGGTCCTTGGATGTGGGCCCAGGCCCCAGTGTCGGAAATGGACCCGGGAAGCTGGGAAGGCTGGAGGTAGCTCTGCTGGAACTGGGGCATTGGTTGACGAGGGCCCCCCTGGGCTCGGGCTGGGGCTCCTTTCCCTGCATGGTTTCCTGGAACAGTGGAAAGAGCACTGGTCTGGGAGTCCAGGTGGGCTTGGAGCTGGCCTCTGCCGCTCTCTCCGCTGAGGGAAAGTTGCTTTCCCTCTCTGAGCCTCATTTGCTGAATGGTGCAAAGATTTACCTCATCCACAGCTTTTCTGCAAAGAGCAGGTGAAGTCAGGAGGGGCAGAGGGGCAGGAAGAGCGCATTCCTGCACATTTGCAAGCTCTGGGCTGGCAGGGCTGGTGTCATCCTGCAGCAGGAGTCCCTCAGTCACCTTGCTGACAGCMGTGGAGACCACCCATCCTGAGATGCTCGCCCCACTGCCCCAGTGARCACCTTACTGTGCGAGTCACTTAAGTCACTTGCCCCGCTGTCCCGCACCCCACCCTGTGCCCTCTCTCACCTGGCGATCCGAGGCCAGTAAGCTTCTGTGAGCCTTTGGCCTCTGCAGTGGCCTGGCCCCACCTTGACATGCCACTTTTCACACTCCAATGTGGGGCCCCCATGGTGCCACACAGGGTGGCCTGCAGAGCCCATGCTGCTGGCCTGCAGGGGGATCCACCTCGGCCCCTGAGCTGCTCCAGCATCCTGCTCTTGCCACTCTGCTCCTCCGTCTGCCTGAGGCCTGGGTGCTGTCCACCCTCAGCCCAAGGGGGCCGGACAGGATTCGCTTCCCATCCAACAGGAAGAGCGCCTGTGCGGGGGCTGCAGGTAGACTGTAGGAGRGGGTGGCCAGGGTGGCAGGTGGCAGGCACGTGTGGCCAGTCCATGCTCCCGTGAAGGCCATGTGTGCACACCTGGGCTGGTGCAGTGCTCCAGCCAAGTGGGACAGTGGAGGAAAGGCTAGCCTTATTGGGCAGGGGCGGGAGGGCCAGGGCCTGAGCCTCCTGGCCAGACCTCAGGCTCCCATCTATGCCCACTCCTGAGAACCTGGCCTGCGTGTGGATGTCCATTCTCCCTCACAGAGGAATGACAGCAAAGGCTGACAGCCAGGACCCTCAGGAGGTGCCTCTGTCACTAAGGAGGAGCTGAGCCAGGGCCCAGGCGACCTCCCTTGTGCTCCTGGAGTCTCCAGGGGTTCTCACCGAGTGGACACAGGGTGGGACCACAGAGAGGCCTGAGGAGAGTCACCCCCGCTTAGCACTTCCCTCACTTCTCAGTCCCACAGGGGGAAGGGGGACACCCCTTCAGGCAGTGGGGGACAGGCCTGCTTACAGGGGCTCCACAGGTGGGTGAGAAACGGGGTCCCCCCTGTCCGTGTCTGCTTGCCAGGGGGTTGCTGGCCGAGCCTCTCTCCATGGATTATTATTGCCTGTCAACGGCTGCCTGTCCTCTGTCCGGGGGGACACTTACAGAGCAGACACGAGTGATCAGCATCTGGCCCCAGGGCGGTCTGGCCCCGTCTGTGGCCCTCAACCAGGGTGCCCTGGGTTAGTGGCTGTTGTTGTGGCCTCGTGGCCGTGGGGGAGGTTGACGATGGACATGCTAAAGGACTTTCACAGACAGGGACCTTGAGGGTTCTGAGTAGGGCACTTCACCCCAGGGACTGAGTGTGCGGGGACACTAGGCACTGGTGGTGTCCTAGGTCGCCTAGTGTCCGGGGGCGTAGCACTCTGGGAATGTTGCCGCCCTGGGTAGGTCCCTGCTCTGGGTGCAGGTCAGACAAGCTTCGGGACCCTGCCAGCCTCATCTGATGACCTGGGCCCCACATGTCATCTGTTTCCTGTGTGCGGATGGGACTTCCGTCTTCATCTGGGGGCATTTTTTTTTCTGTAGATGGACATGATACCTTTTCTCAAATTCATTTTTATGTGGTGCTGAGGATGGAACCCGGTGCCTCACACGTGCTAGGTGAGCGCTCACCACTGACCTGCAGCCCCAGCCCCCGGGCAGGTTTTAAACGGTCACTCTACCTTCGAATAGCCGCCAGGTCCACCAGGACTCAATCCTTGTTTTCTCCTGGTTAGACCTGGAGCTTGACAGGGCAAGGTGACAGAGTGACAAATCTGGGGCACAAGTGGCCCAGAACCGGCATGGGCCCTGCCTGCATTGACCATGACCTCACCTGTTGCTCTGTGGTCCAGCAGTGACTCTGGGTAGAGCCCAGCTGCTCTGGGTCCCAGGGCACAGAGCAGGCTTTGCAGCAGCAGCTCCCAGAGTGGCCTCTGGGTGACAACAGGGCCACGCCTGGTCCTTGGACACTCCTGCTCCCCTCCGACACCACACACATGCAGACACCACYTCCCGGGTAAGGAGCAGGCAGAGGTGCCGGGCTGGCCCTGGGGACCCCTTCTCTGCCCAGGACTGTGGTGTTGTTTGTTTGTTCAAGCTGATAAAGTCGGATTTTCTGGACTCGGGCCGGGGACAAGCAAAGCACATTGTTCTGCCAGCTTTTCTTGGATGGGTTTGGAGCTGCGTCCAGGACTGGGAGGGGGACGCAGGAGAGTTGGCTTCTCTCTGTCGCCTTGCTCCCCGCCCTGGCTTCCTAGTCGCAGGTTCCCCAGGGATCGGGCTGGGCAAGTGTCATGTCCAGGCTCAGGGCTGTTACTGCGCGCCCTCTTGGCGCCGCTGCCTTGGGGACYTCTGCAGCTCTGGCTGTGGTGATTCTGCTGACCGCTGCCAGGCCTCGCTGAGAACTGAATCTTTCACGCCCTGCGAGGGCAGACCTGCTCACGGTGTGACGCAGAGCCGAAGCTCTAAGAGATCATGCCCCTTGCCCAGAGCATGCCACTTGGCCGAGGGAGAGCCAAGAGTTGACCCTAGTGACAGAGATGCATGTGTGGTGGCATCATCGGTGACAAAAGACTTTTGAACCTGGTTCCAAACTTCCTGGAGCCACCTGGTGAAGGTGGAAGGGCCACTCATGTGTCCCCCACTCCCTCATCCAGGACCTTGAGCTCTGCAGACAAGGGCTTCCCCAGGTCACAGGGCAGCGAGCACTAGAGCCCCGGAGCCGAGGACAGCTGGTGCTGTCAGCACACTATGGAGGGCAGGGGCCCCTTTTGGTGTATGGTGGACATGACGAGGTCCAGGAACGCTGCTGGACAAAGCGGGGTTGAGGTGGATCACAGTGAGGCCTCTGTTGTGTTCAAGCTTAATCCTTGGGGCCTGGCAGARGGACTTTTGTCCTTGGCACTACTGAGAGTGTGGACCAGAGGGTCTTGCTGTGGGGCCCCCGCAGCACTGCCCTCTGTTCCTGCGCTGCCATCCCCAGCTCCTCAGTCAGGTGGTGCCATGCCTCGGGGTCACCACCATGCTTCTGTTCAGACTGACGAGGCGTGAGCTGAGCCTCAGTGTCCCCCTGCAGCATGGGACGTGGACACACCMCAGGGCTCCTCAGCAGAGGAGCCCAGGTGCTTAGCACAGCTGTGGAGTTGGGTGGAGGCTCAGCCGCACCTTCCACGGCCACCCTGCTGTGCTGCCAGGCCAAGGGGTGGGGGGCGCCGTCCTGCGGCCCTCCTCATTCCTCCCSTGCCCCCAGGTGCCGTGCTACTCCTATGGGCAGAAGCTGTCCAAGCTGGCCATCCTGAGGATTGCCTGTAACTACATCCTGTCCTTGGCCCGCCTGGCAGACCTCGACTACAGCGCCGACCACAGCAACCTCAGCTTCTCCGAGTGTGTGCAGCGCTGCACCCGCACCCTGCAGGCCGAGGGACGTGCCAAGAAGCGCAAGGTAGGCGCCAGCCGCGGGGCACAGCTCTCGGGGAGGGCGGGCCCAGGGGCAAGAACTCTGGGGCCCCACGTATGCCCAGRTTCCCATGGGGCAGACGATCACGCCGGCTCTAGGGATCCCCCACCTGGGACTGTGGGTGGGACCATCCTCTGGTGATGGAGATGCCGGGTGGCCTTGGACTATCACCTGGGGTGTCTGGGCCTAAGTTCTCGTTCCTCACTTGAGGAAGACTGTTTGTCCTGGAGCCTCTGTGACATGTGTCCTGAGTTTCCGGCAGCCCTGCTAGATGCCAGTTGTACTGGGAGGAGATCCCCCGAGCAGGTCACAGCCCAGGGACCCTCTGTTGACCTCGGGAGTGGGACTGGCCTGTGGGTGCTCTGAGGCTGTGCATGTGGGCCAGCGATACTCATCCGCGCGTTCTGGGGAGGTTTACTGTGTTGACCAAGCTAGGAGGGTACCAGGGGACCAGTGTGGGGTCCTGGTTCCCATCCAGCTCACAGGACAGCTGGTAGACCTGCTGCAAGTGAGTGAGGGCGGCACAGTGTGGCCTGTCCTGGGGGCCCAGGAAGACCAGGGAGAGAGGGGCCCTTCCCAAGGGAGCTCCAGAGGACATCCCAGTGGAAGTGGCGTTTGAGCTGGGGTCGTGGGGACAACTCAGAGGCCACCAAGCAGATGCAGTACGGAACAGGACTGGGGCAGAGGGAGTGCCTGTGTGGGGCTTGACGTGTTGGGAGATCTGCAGGAGGTGAGCCGCTGGCACAGCTCTGGTTTCCCAGATGGCCTGGACCCTCCACCATCTGGGTCCTGTCCCCTGTGCTGGTGGAGGTCAGAGAGTGGACCCAGTGTGTCTGCGAGGAGATGCCCTTCTGCTGGCCTGCGCCTCCCCCAGGCCCTGCAGGCAGGCCCCTCTGGATCTCCCAGGTTTCCAGAGGCTTCTGGGCCCAGCAGGAAGTCTTCAAGGACTCCCAGGCCCCCAGCTGTCCCCCAGGTGATTGTTGATTTCACATAGGCTGATTAGAAAGGAGCCCTTGAGTGCGTGAGGGAGGAAGCCCAGAGCCTCTCCCCTGGGGAAGCAGGCGGTGTGGGCCCTGTGAGCTCTGGGTGCGCGGCCCTGGCATTCAGACGTCCCAGAGCTGTGGATGGGCAGCACAGGCAGTGCAGTGGGCCCTCTGTCCCCTGGCCCCTCACCCGGAGCCATGGGGTCCTGGGCAGGTGGAGGCTGGATRCCCAGGGATGAGGGAAGATGCCCAGTAGAGCTGGGCATGGTTGCCCCTGGAATCGCCTCAGCTCTAAGACCCTCAGAGACCCCTGTGTTGCCCACTGGGAGATTGAGGTGGTGGGTGACGGTTCAGTGCACCTGGAAGTCCTGGCTCTGGTCCTAGCAGTTGGATTTGTTTCCTGGCCCTGCCAGCGTCCCTGTTCTCCCCTGTTCTCCACAGGGATGTTGGGAATGCTCGCCTGCAGCCACTTTGCAGATGAGGCCGRTCTTCTCGCGTGTGGGGTGTCTGGCAGGAGGGGGCCAGTGCACTTGCTCCCTCCACCCTCCGGCCTTAGCCCTGCTGCCCTTGGGTCCCAGCGGGATCTCTTCCCCTCTATCTCCTCGCCTCCCCAACCCTGGCTTGGGGGCTGGAGCTGCACCAGGCCTGAGGTCCTCCTGCCTCCTGGTGGGTCTCCCGGCTCTGAAGAGGTGCCGGCTGACTGTGGGGAGGGGTGCTACTGTCTTGGCCCTGGCCTTTGAGGTCCCAGGCTGAGATTGCGTCCACAGTGACACATCTCCTCTGTGAAAGACCCCAGGGCCCCCTGCTGACCTGGCCCCCCTTGGGGCTACTGGCTGTAACGGGCGCCTTCCCAGATCCCATCCTCTCACAGTTGAGATCTGACCCCAAAGCCCTCCCAGGGTGGCCGTTTCTGTGTCCAGAGTCGGATTCCTTCCCAGCAGGACCCTGGTGGCCCCTGGAGCCTTTGGGCTCTCAGCCATCATTTCAGGCCCATGACCACCTTCTGGGTACCAAAGTCCCAACTGCCAGTTGTCACCCTCTCTGCCTCCCTCTGTGTCCCTGGGCTGGTTTGCTGTCCCCTTCTCCCTGTGTTTTGGGGACATGTGTACCACTCTGAAGCCCCAGGCTCACTGGAGAACCTCTCTGGGCAGAGGTCTGCTCTGGGTGGAGGACTCGGAGCGAGGGGCCTGGAGCTGTGGAGGGCGTTCTGTCCCGGTGGCCCTGGCCTCCCCACCCGGGGCTKCTGTGGCCTGACAGGAGTCCATCGTCTGTGTCCTGGGTGTGAGTGGCTTCATTTCCCTCCTCTGGCCACCTAGCTGACCCCTGCCCTGTGTGGGGAGCCAAGGGGTCTTTCCCCCTCATGTGARGGGCGGCTTCTGTGGGAAGCTGTGCAGAGGTGGGACGAGGGGCGGAGCACCTGGAGGCAGGATGAGGTGCCACCAGGCCACACCCCAGGGAGGCCTGGCACCCTCCTCCTGCCTGGCACCCTCTCAGCTGGTGTCCACCCCCAGAGGGCAAGATGTGCGGGTCTTCCAGCTCCCCAGGCACCTCCCTCTCTCCTGGGGCAGCCAAGAGGACACTCCTGTACCACAGTGGGGACGGGAGTTTGCCACGTGCTGTGTGCCACCCAGTGGCTGTGGACACTCGGGCCTGGTGTGTCTGGGAACCAGGAGTGGCCAGGGTGAGAGAAAGGGAAAGCCAACTGGAGAGTTGCTGCTCCTCACACAGGTGGTCAGGGCTGTCGGGAAAGGTGATGGGGTGGCCCAGGTGGCCTGAGGAAGGGGAGGTCCCTGGCGCCCTGCTGGGCCTGCAGGGGCCGAGGAGCCAGATGAGACCCTTCCTCCAGGGGCCTGCTCTGCCTCTCTGGTCTGGATCAGCCTGGGGTCTCCCGTCACCCTGGCCTTGGGCAGGCCCTGGGACAGAGTCCTGGTCCTGCCAGCTGTTGACACTGAGCTCCGGCTTGTCTTCGAGGCTGTCCTCATGGCCTCCTGGAGCTGCAAGGGCATCTCCTATATTTCCCTGGAGACTCCCACGGGCTGGCTTATCCCTGTCCCTTCCGTGCCATGAGCCGAGGGCCCACAGTGCATCTGTGTTGGCACCAAGCTCTTGAGAGTGAGCGAGGAGGGCGACAGCCTGTCTCAATCCGCTTTCTGAGGCTGTGACGGAATGCCGTGGGCTGGGTGGTTTATAGAGAACTGAGGTTTACTGAGCTCAGGCTCTGCAGCCAGGTGTTCAGGAGGCAGTGCTTGCAGCTGTGAGGCCTCAGGCCACCGCCTAACCTGGCCAGGGTCACCAAGGCAAGATCCCAAGCCTGCCACATGGCCCTGCTTCCCTCAGAAGGCCACGGACACCATCGCTCGCCACCCTGATGACCTCGTAGCTGCAAATCCACACCCACGAGCATGGGGACGGGGCATGTCTTCTCCCTGGGGGCGGGGCTCTCCCTCTGGGCCTCCCAGGATGCCGACTCGGGTCAGAGCCCTGTTGGAGGCCCCTGTGGTCAGAGGCTGCCCAGCAGAGATGGTGGGAGGAGAGGTGGCCTGGAGAGCAGGGGTGCCCAGAGACATGCAGCTTGCACAGGCCACGGGCAGGTCCCTGCAGCCACTCCTGGGGCGTCTGAGGATGAGGGCGGCAGGCGAGACTTGCTCCCCACATCTGGGCTGCCCAGACTTGGCATGGGAGGGGACCGGCATCCTGCTGCCCAGGAAACCCTGTCCACGCGCTGAGGCTACTACAGAACCACAGTGTTGCTGCTGGCCTCCTGGCATGCACGCGTTGAGCCCTGGCCACGAACTGTCACCACGTCCCTGCCCTGGAGTTGGCCATGGGCCTGGGCAGGGTGGGGGCAGGACGAGCCATGAGGCGAAGGTTGTGCCAGGGCTGAACGGCAAGGGACTCGGGTGCCTACCAGCCTGGGGTCCGMGGGGCCGGAAGTGTGTACTCAGCCCATGGCATCTGCAGCTGGTGGCCAGCGGGTCAGCTTGGTCACACTTAGTCTCCCCTCTGCTCCCTGCTGCTCTCCTTGGTGACTGGAGAGGTGGCCTGAGTGTTTGGAGAACGTCTGGGGATAGGCCAGGTGCTGCATCAGGGCACATTGGTCATGGAGCCAAGGGTCAGAGTCGGGGGTGCCTGAAGGCCTGTCCTTTCTGAACTGTCCCTGGCCCTGAGGGTGGGAGGCAGAACCACCACCGGCCAGCGTGGCCTCTGCTTCTGTGGGGTAAGGAATGCTCCTGGTGCTGTCTCTGGCCCTTGTGGTGAGTGGCCTTCCTGCGCTGCCTCTTGCTGGGGCTCAGCCCCTCTTTCTGCCTTAGGGACAGGCCCCTGTCACTTCACTTCTGGCACCACGGGTGCTACATATGGATGGGGTCCACTGCCCTGTGGGTGCAGTGACACCTGATATCCAGGACCAGGACCAGCCAGGCTCCCCGTGTGCCTCACTGACCCCTCCAGCCTCCCAGTGGAGATGGTGGACGGAAGCCGGGAGCCTGGGAATGTGCCCGGGTCACCCAGCCAGCAGGTGCGGGCCTGCCTCCCACGGGGACACAGTGGGTGGGAGGGTCTCTTTCCCAAGTCCTGTGGGGAGGGATTGAGCTGAACCCCACTTGCTCGTGATGCCCACAAGGCTGTGCTGCAAGGAGGGTGGGAGACCCCGTCCCACGCCCTCTGGTCATAAAGCCTGGACGCTCAGCAGGGCCTGCTCAGCCTGGGTGGGGTATCAGCCAAGAGCTCAGGTGAGCAGGGCCCTCTCCGGGGCTGCCCTGAGGTGGAGGCTGGGGTGCTGYCCCTGCTGCAGTCAGGTCCCCACTGTCTCCCCAGGGCTGGGTGGGAGTGGAAGCCCATTGGGCATGGGAGGCCCCTCTGCTGCCCCTGTACCACTCTCAGGAGCCCGGAGTGCGGGCACCTCTGTGAGCCAGGTTCCCCTCTGGAGGCCACAGGCTCGGTAGCACTGGGCCCGGTATGCTGGAGAGGACTGCCTATAGGGTGGGGGCTGGTTCCAAAGAG